ATTAGCCCAGTTTCTCAAATGGGCCAGTTTCAATCAGCATGATAATGAAGTTCTCTCTATTTTAATTCTTACAAAAGAGAAGTGACCTGAAGTTGTTTAATATTACCTGATCAGTTAGTTTTCTATTATTCTGTCTTCCTATCTGCACCTTACAAGGAAATTATTTTTAAATGACCAATCTTCTTTTTGTTCTTTTATTTGTTTTCTTCAGCCCTTCTGTGTCTATAGAACCAATGTCCTCTGAGATCATTAGAACATTTGTTCTATTTTCTGGAACAAAGCATTGCCCAGTTCTGGAATCACAAATAAAGCCAATTACAGGGTTGGCCTTGTAGCCTACTGGTTAAAGGTGCTGGATCCCACGTGGTCAGCCATGAGATTAGTACCCCACTGGCTTAAAAAAGCATACAAGGTGAGTGTACATGCTCCAGATCCCAAAAGGATGGAGAAACAGAGGACAAGGTATTGCAGCATGACCACATCCCCCTGGGAGGTGCTTTCTCTCTCTCTCTCTATCTGGCAAATGCACATACCCTCTGATAATTAAAAAAGATCAATAATAAAAAAAGCCAATTAAGATATTTAAACTGTTGTCATTATATCTTTTGATATTGTATTCATTAGACTACCCAGTTTTGTATCAGTGTCCATATTTTCTAATATTTTTACCTTTGAGACACAATACTCATCTTTTTTTAAAAAGAATTATTTATTTTATTTTAATATGTATTTATATATATACACACATACATATATATAATCTGCTCTAGGGCATGTGTGCTCACCAGAGAGAGAGAGAGAGAGAGAAAGAGAGAGAGAGAGAGAGAAGGAAAGTGAGAAAGCAAGCCACCAGGAGGTCTGGGACTTGAAACAGTCAGCCAGGTGGGAGTCCAGCACCTTGAACACGATGCCACCTCCTGGCCCTCACAACAGTCATCTTAATTATGTCCTCTTTCTGCTGCTTGTTTTAAGGGTTTCTCATCATCCCCTCCTTCCTCTACCTCCAATTTTGCAAACCACCTCCATAGATATTAATTTAAATAAAATGACTGCCAAGATTGTCCTCATGTTCTTGTTAGCCTCCATAGATTGTTAAAATTATATTGCATTGTGGTAAAAGATAACTTGCTTTTTCTTATCAATTTTAAATTAAAGGGCAAGATATAACTGAAGCTAACATGTTAAATTATTTGTATGGGTATAGCAAGAAATAAAGGAATACAAGTTACTTATCAGCAACTTGTTAGAAATTAACATCATAATACAGATGATAATGAATAAAAGGGATTTGATTTATAAGGAATAATATATGCTTAGGAAAATTACTTTCCCAGTCAACAAATGACTGAAATATGAACTTGCACACTACGTAAATGAAAGAGATGTTGATAAGTAATAATACTGTTCCCAAAAAGTGCCAGAATTTGAAAAATTCTGTGCAATTATGCAAGCCAATATTTTATTTTATTTATTATTTTTAAATTTTATTCATTGTCATTTTTTATTTTATTGAAGTTGACCAGACAGAGACAGAAAGAGAGAAGGAGATTGAGAAAGAAAGTTGCCAGTTCTGGGACTTGAACCATGGTCAGTCATGTGGGAGTCCAGCCACCTTAACCACCATGCCATCTGCCGGTCCCAAAAAGCCAATATATTAAATAATGTGATTTATATCAGGATTCCTTGTGTTTCCATTAAAAACTAATACTGAGCGGACTGCTCTGTTGAATTGTGATTCTGAATGCAATGAACATTCAAAACAAGTTTGGGGGTTGGTTTATGTGCACTTGGGTTAGCTCCTTACCGGTCAACACAGTTATTTACTCTTAGAAACCCAAGGAACTTCTGCGTGAAGAACTTGATCTTTTTCTTCTGTGAGATTTAAATAATAAGACTGATGCTAAACATTATGTCCTCTTGGGTAACTCCTCAGGAGTTACTCAAGACATTCCTAGGCCTTCGTCTAGGTTCCTTGGGTTTCTGGCAGGAATGTGTAGATAGGGAGAGGTAAAAATTTTCCAATCCCAAGGGATTTTGACCACCGAAGACCCTCTACCCAGACTTCACCTTCCTGTCCCCCAGATCTAGCCAGGAGTCAGAGAATACAAGGGAACTTATGGAAATGTCAGATAAAGAATTTAAAATATTCATAGTGACAAAGCTAACAGAGATGAAAGAGAAGACAGACAACGAACTCCAGAAGATGCAGGAGAAAAAGTGATACCAAGTTCCTGGAGGTGAGGAAGTTCTTGCACGATCTGAAAGAGGAGATACACGTCATAAAAAAGAATCAAATGGAATTGTTAGAGATAAAGGCTGTAATACAGAAAATCAAAACTTCTGTTGAAAATATCAAAAGCAGATTAGATCATGCAGAAGATCAAATCTCAGATGTAGAAGGTAGAACCTCTGACCTAGAAAAATTCACCCAAAAGACTGAGAACGTAACTCCCCAAAATGAGAATATCATACAAGACTACTAGATACTGCTAAATGCCCAAATATCCAGATCATTGGCATCCCAGAATGTGAATAGACTAATAAGGGCATTGATAATCTATTCTATGAAATCCTGGAAGAAAACTTTCCAAACCTAGAGAAGCACTCAAATATCCAGACCCAAGATATACAAAGGATCCTACATAGAATCAACCCAAGAAGATCTTCCCCAAGGCACATCATAGCCAGATTGAACAAAACTACAGACAGAGACAAGATACTAAATTTGGCAAGAGAGAAACATCAAGTTACTTTCAAAGGATATCCCATAAGGCTAACATCAGAACTCATCGGAAACAATGCAAGCAAGGAAAGAATGGGAAAATATATTCAAAGTGTTGAGTGAAAAACAATTTCAACCAAGAATATTATACCCAGCAAGATTATTTTTCACATGAGAAAAAAAAGACAAAAACATTCTCAGATAAACAAAACCTGAAAGAATTTACCAACACCGGGCTAGCTGTCGAAGAAGCGTTGAAGGGAATGCTATACCAGGAAAACTAAAGTTGGACACACCAAAATAAGAGTACAAAAAGCACGTGTCCTATAGCAAAAACCTCTCAAAAAACAAACAAACAAACAAAAAAACAAAACCAAGAGAATGGCCAGCTTAAGGGTAGGGAAAAGTCTGGAGTTGAAAGTTAACTTCCAGAGTTTAAATGGAAAGATCAGACTACAGTAATACTGCAAATTCAATAGAAAAGAGATTAATTACATGAGACTGAGCTAGTAAAACATAATTTTTTTTTACTTTAGACTAAATCGTTACTGATTTTTTTCTATGCTTTAATTCTATATTTAAGGATTTTTGTCTTCTTTTGAACTTTTGATAAGTTCATCTACCTACTATTTGAACTGAATCCTAACCTTTTTCCTGATTTTAAGTTTTAAGCAAATTCCTCTTAACATTTTTTATTTTGATCTATTAAAACTAAAACTGTTTTTCTTGAAATTAAAAAATGCATTAAAATATCTATTAATACCTATTTAATGACTGCAGTAAGTTATATAACCCCAGCAAGGTGCTACTTTATAATATATTCACTTTACTCACTGAGGTTTACACCTAAAGTCAGACCTTCATGCATAGGTATGTATAAAATGTGCAAAAAAACAAAAGGCATGGAAAACAACTGCACATATCAGAGACAGTGTGGGAGAAGGGGGGAAATTGATTCAGAGACAGTGTGGGAGAAGGGGGAAAATTGATAGAAGGTGAGAGGTAGGGAATCAAGGGGGAGGAAAAAAAGCAAAATATATAAGAAACAATAAACAAAATTATTTGTTGATGATAACGTATGATAATATCCTTGATTGAGCCAATATACAATGTATTCTGGATGAAAAAAATCTCATTTTGTATACCATATTGATGTATAGTGTAAATTTATATAAATATAGAAATATACCATATTGTATAGTGAATGACTGTAAATACATAAATTAATTAAAACATTTTTTAAAATGACAAAAAAATGTTTCAATCCCAGCAGTAGGGCATTAGAAAAATTTCTGTTCTTTGGTGAGCTCTCGCCTCCTTAGAAAACTATGGTTTGAAATGTTTCTCTTATCCCCTTCTCCTCCATCCCCAGAGGATGTATGTGCTCACCACAGAAAGACAGAAAGGAAGGGAAAGGGAAAAAGTACCTACCACCTGGTAGTTTGTGATCACACCACAATCCCTTCTCCTCTATTAATCTATCCTGTTGGGATTTGGGGCATGCACAAACATGCTCACAGCATGTTTCTTTGTTTGGTTGTGTTTTTTTTTAGAGGTTTTTGCCTTAGGGCACTTTTGCTGGGTGGGGGAGCAGAGGGAGGAAGACAGTGAGAGGGAAAG